TCAGGGGTGTGGGGTCCCCAGGGAGGGAGAGAGACAGAGAGATGGGATGGGGAAGGGGAGAGACTCAGAGGACAGACAGACAGACTCAGTTCAGAGCAAGGATGGACAGCCCCTCACCTGCCTTCCTCTCTCTAGGACAGCTCTCCTACACACCCTCCCTCTCAGTGCAGCCAGGACCCACGGTGGCCTCAGGAGAGAACGTGACCCTGCTGTGTCAGTTCTGGAGATCTGTGAACACTTTCTTTCTGTCCAAGGAGGGGGCAGCCGACCCTCCTCTGCGTCTTAGATCAAAGTACCGAGCTGGGCATTACCAGGCCAGATTCTCCATGAATCCTGTGACCTTAGCCCAGGGGGGGACCTACAGGTGCTACGGCTCATATAGCAACTTCCCCTACCTGTTGTCACACCCCAGTGATGCCCTGGAGCTCCTGGTCTCAGGTGAGGGAGTCTGATTTTTGTTCCATCCGTGTTTTGACCACCAGACAGGTTATGGAGGCTCTGCTCCCAGAGGAGCCCCAGATCAGAGGGTGGGGGGAGGAGACATGGGGATCTCACAGATCAGAGAGACAGAATGTGAGAGATACTGAGACCTGGGGGCCAGGATAGGAGAAGAGACGTTTGGGGAGAATCTGCTCCTCAATCCACGACTGGTTGTCTCCCAAGTGTGTCCAGGAAGCCCCCCCTCCTGACCCAGCAGAGCCCTTTCTTGACCCCTGGACAGAGGCTGACCTTCCAGTGTTGCCCTGATGTCGGCTATGACAGATTCTCTCTGTACAAGGAGGGGGCACGTGACCTTCCCCAGCACCTTAGCCTGCAGTCCCAGGCTGGGCTCTCGGGGGCCGACTTCCTCCTGGGCCCAGTGAGTGGCTCCCACGGGGGCCGGTACACATGCTATGGTGGACACAACCTCTCCTCCGAGTGGTCGGCCCCCAGTGACCCCCTGGACATCCTGGTCACAGGTGAGGGGACACGGGTTCAGTCAGGGCCCCTGACTCTGCACAGGCCCTGCTGGGGGTGTCCCAGGTG